CACTCCGGCGACTGTCAGCCTCCCTACAGGCAGAGACTGCATGCTCCTCACCCAGCACAGGAAGCTCTGTGGCATGCGCAAGCCGGTTAACCGATCAGTCCTGGTGGCCCCGACGCCCACTGCCAACTGCCCACGGGGGACCAGGGAGCTGCGTTAGCGCGGCCACCATTGGATCCTTGCAGACCGCCACGATTTAATCAGAACGCGAAGGGGGAGCGGCTGCTCGGAGGGACATGGGGGCAGCTCAGGGGAGCAGCCTGCCCCGGAAGCTACGATTCATACCCGCGTGAAACCTCTACGCAATAGTTTATTTCCAGGATCTCTGCAACCGGAACGCGGGGACGGTCACGTCAGAGTTCAAGTGGAAAGACTAGTGCAGATCTCACGAGGCCCAAGGCTAACAGCGCAGGTGATGCTGACACTGATCTGTTCTTTTGTGTTCCTGCTCGTTTTAGTAAAATTAGAGCCCTCCCAGTAATTATGCAAAGACTGAAAAAACAGAACTCCCCACTCCCACCAGGCAAGAACAATTAGCAAGTCCATCTCTTTTATTTCAGCCCATTTTGGGGCTGGGAGAGCTCACTAACTAGTAGTTTTAGGGCTGTTCTTACCTTAATTATTGTCATTATTTATAAGGGACGTCCGCGAATACAGTCAAATTTTATGAACCTCACCTCACACACCAGGGGCCAGGCATGAAGGATTCCACTAAAAACAGGAAACGTGAGCTGTAGTCACGGCTCCATCCCAGTCCGGTGGCCCTTTCTTGCCAGGGTGGGGGGAGTGCCTCGGGAGGCTGTGACCCTTGGAGGCTGTGTGAGCCGGGGCGCTCCTGTCCCTCCAGCGTGGCCTTGGGTAAATATTCGATCGCCTACTGTATGTCCATGCCTGATGGGGAACCAGGGTCCCGGCCTGCATAGAGCTCACGCCCCACGTGGCTGACGTGCTGTCCCGAGGCTCCCCGAGCACCCTCCAGCTCACGAAACGGGTATGTGGCAGGAGGGGCTGACTGGCAAAAAGCCTCTAAATCTCCCATCCACGTGCCCACTGGCCAAGGATCGGGGCGGGCCTATACAAAATCGAAAGGTGGGTCTAAAAAGCCACTCAAGCTACGAACTGTCTAGCTCCTCTTGGCTTTGGGGAGGTTTTCACAGAAATGTTGGCAAAGCTGACCCTCAGGATAGACCGATTTTATTCTCCTGTCCTTGGAAAAAGAGTTGAAAAGAAGCAGGGAGGAGGGAGGGTGGCGGGTAGGGCTGAGGCTAGCTGGGGCCCAGCGGCCCGGGGAGGGGGCGGCCCCCCGCGGCAGGGGGGCTGACAGGACTCAGCCCCCGCAAGTCCCCCATCCCGAGCTAGTACCAGAAGGACCCCCTTCCTGGCACAGCCCTTGACCGCAGCCAATAGCCCGAAGAGCGAAGCCTGAATCCGGGGCTGGGTGAGGAAGGCTTTGTCGTGGCCCGAGAATACCTCAGGCATTAAGAGGGCATTTTTGCAGAGGCTAAAAATGCTTTCTTCATTTTTCACTGACAGCTGGTTAAGGAGGAATGCAACAGAATGTCTGCTCAGGCTTTGGGCCGACAGCAGGCTCAGCCCTGCTGCAGAGCCGCCTTTATCCCCGCTAAGAACGGGCTTTTAAAGGATACATTAGGGGAAGGCCTGGCCCTTTCAGGTTCTGAGTGGACTTGGGGCACTTTCTTCTTCTGTTATTTGGGGGAAGAAGGAGCTCCGTGGCCTCAGGGTCCTGGCAGCTTATACAAGCGTATTTCTCTGGGACCCAAACCCTCAGTCACTTTGCCCCAGTCGGCCCCAGCCATCAGTGGGCTCCGGCCCTGGGTGTTTGGGGAGCACCGGGCTCTTGCTCTCTCTGGCCCTTGCTGCCTCACCTGGGAATAACGATAGTCCCACCATGTCACAGGGGTGTGGCGAGGAGGAAACGCCTGCTCCTGGTACTCACTAGGTGTCAGTCACTCCTTCACATGTGTCGAGACTCAGCTCAGACCTCACCTCCTCCAGGAAGCCTTCCAGACCCCGGTGTCCAGTGTCCGAACAGGGCATGGCCTAAAGCGGGCAGGTGTTCAGCCAACACCTGTGAGCAGGTCAGTGTCTCTCCCAGGAGCTACAGGCGGCTGGGGCTGCACACTGGTTCCCATTGGGCCCAGCTAGGAGCCCCCCCACATCCCGCTGGACGCTGCAGACGGGAGGCATGAGTGGCCCCAGAAAACAATTTCTTCCTTTCCACTGACATACAGGGTTTCTAAGACATTGCTTGAAATGAGAACTGCGCCCCTAAAAACAAGTTTGCAAACACCCAGGCCCCATAGGGTTTCAGATGCCCGGTCCCAGGTGGTTATTTAACTCAGTTCCCTCCTTTGCCCGAGGGAGACGATCACACCCGTCCCTGAAGGTGTTTGTGAGAACCGAGCTGGGTGCGGGGTAGACAAGCTTGGCTGCGACTTGCGGGCGGCTCAGGCTTGGGCTCAGGTCCAGCAGCAAACCATCCACCGCAGGTGGACAGGCCTGGAGCTGCAGCGTTGTGCCCGTGTCCAGGGCTAGCACGCACCAGCATGGCCACCCCCGGTGGCCCAGAGCTCCCGGGGTGCACAGGAGTTATTTGGGATAGAGGGGGAGAGGGGAAGAGGTGGGGTTAAGGAAGTCCAGGGAAGAGACCCAAGCAGAGAAATAAGGCAGCGACGGGTGGGCATAGAGATGAGGGTCCAACCCGACATACAGTCCGGGTCCTACCCCAGTGGGACCTTGCCATCTGGACTCCCCTGGCCTCAGTCCTCTACCCAGGAGATGACACTGGCATGAGGACCCCGGCACGGGGTCCTGGCCAGATGGATGCCCTGCAATCAGAGCGAGGAGCGGAGGAGGCCAGGCCCACCGGAAGCAGGACGAATTTTCCGGGGCCAGCCTGGGCCCTCCTCCACGCAGTCCCAGCCCGGATTCCAAAGACCAGGGCACGCGTGACCGAGCGCAGTGAGGGACAGCCGCTCTTTCTTTGTGACCTGATCCACATTCCATTCCCAGGGGCTCCGTTCTATTCCCCACTCTGCCCTGAGGCACTGTGAGAAGCCTGGCACACCCTCACGCCTCTCTGGGCCTCGGTTTCCCCCTCTACAAAGGAGTTGGAAAGAGATGGTCTCCAGGAGCCTCCAGGCTTCGACACGCCAAGATTTTCTGCCCCAGTGGATGGGAAGCCGAGAAACAGAGGCTCCCAGGTCGATTTTGTCTGGTGTACAGATGCGGCTAGAAAAATGCGCTGGTGGGCACTGGATCCGGGCCCAGCCGCTGCCAACCCCCGGGCGCAGGTCACCCAGGAGGGATTTAGCTGGGAACGCAAGGCGAAAACGCAGCAAGGAGCCACCCCCAAGAGGTTTCTCTTGGGGCCACGGAGGCTTGTCAGTCTCTGGAGTGTCAGATTTTGATGATCTGCTTGTGGGGCCATCTCTCTTCCCCCCTGGATGGCAAAGGCCCCGAGGGCAGGGTCTGCATGGTGTTTATTCACCTGTCCCTGCAGTGTCCAGCCCAGGGCCCGGTACAGATGAGGGCTCGGGAAAGGAGCAAAAGGGCAAGAGTAACTGCGTGAAGCTGAAGGCTCTCAGTCCAGTTCCTATGGTTCCGAAGCTGTGACTTCCCCCGCGAGGCCGAGATTTACCCCCGCGAGGCCGAGATTTACCCCCACGAGGCCATGTTGCGTGGCGCCCGCTGGCCTAGCATCAAGCACGGGGCTGCTAGGAGGGGGGCTTCTGGACGCCAGTGTCTCGAATAGCTCACCACCACCCCACCCAAGCGGGACGAAGCCTGACCCTCCCTCCTCCCGTCTGCCCTCATCCCTGGGGCCCTGCAGGGCTTCATCATCTAACATGGGGGAAACTGAGGCCCAGGGTGGGCAGTGACTCAAGGGCAAGCAGCAAGTTTTATGACTGCTGACAGCCAAACTGCATGCCCTCCCCTTGGGATCCCAGCTAGGACTAATGTACCATTAATTGTAATTAACTAATTATTCCTGCTGCCAACTAGCGGAGGAGGCGGCTGGGGGTGGGGAGCCCCTAAATGACTCAGTCATGTTTACAACATGCAAACCCATTTAAGAGCTTGTAAAGTCGCTATAAATGGCTCTTTGGCAACAGGGGAATAACGATCCCCTGTCTCCAGCTGCCAGTTTAACAACGGTTGGGGTTGGCAGCGGGTGTCCGGGCGCAGGGACCAGGGTTCTGAGATCCAACAGCGCCACCTAGAGACCTTGTTCCAAAACTCGGCTGAAGGGCCACCCGCTCGGACGCTCCTTCTGGTCAACACCTCACAGAATCCACGACCCAGGACACCACAAAGCCCGTGCCCCCCCCCATTCGCAATGGAGAAACTGAGGCCGACGCGAGGACAGGGCCTGGCCTTCGGCTGCTCATCTGCTTTGAATATACTCAGAGTCTAAATCTAAGTCCAAAATGGTAGCTGGGATGGTTTCCATTCCCCACGAACTTGAGGTCTCTAAAACTCAACAGTGCAGGAGAGGTTTATGAGCCGGTTCCCCACACTCACCTGCTTCCCGCCTCCGCTGGCATCCCTCCCCTCCCTGTCCACCCCCCAGCCGTCCTCCGTGCTCCCGAGGCGCTGAACCTCGGTGGAAGGCGCCAGCAGGCTCCTCGCTCAAGGGCTGTGCGCGTGACCTGCCGGGCGGGACACCGCCTGGACGCACGGCAAGGCAAGCGGTCCGGGGCCGAGGCCAAAGCACGAGCTCAGACCCCCCGTTTGCTATTCCTTCTGTCGTCGCCCCCGGAGACCTGGAGCCCAGCCAGGAGCAGAGCCCACTCCTTGCCTGTGACTGCCTTGGGAGGGGGCAGGAGGGGGTTCCAGCTGGCCCTGAAGAATAGGAGGGATTTAGGAGGGGGACTCAGATGGGACCTCGGCTGGTCCAGAGAGGTTTTCCCAGCAGCCTGGCACCACGGGCCTCCACGAGGCCGCTGGCTGGGAGAACCTGAACGTCTCCAGCCACTCACCCACAGTCATGCCATCCATGTAGCGCTTGATGATATCAAAGGAGTCCCGCAGGTTCCCTTCGGTGATGTCGAAGATGATGTCGGCGTGGTTGGCAGGATACACGGGCATGATGGCCCGGAGAAAGATGATCTCTGCGGGAGGGAAGCACATCATGGAGCCCCCGGAGATGCACCCTCGGGTCCCAAGAACCCAGGGCCGGTGAGCCCTGCACCGAGAAGGCAGAGGAGGGGTCCTGAGGGCTCACAGGTCATCGCCTATCCCCCTTGTGATCAGCGGGGAAACTGAGGCCTGGAGAAGCTTTGGATCTTCCCTGAGGTCCTGCGGCTAATGGGCAGCAGTGGCAGGGCTGAGGGGCACTTGGTAATTAGCTGTAAATCTTCATGAAGTTGGGAAGAAGGGGAAGGGCGGTGGACGCGGGGACAAATGGAGAGAGGTCAGCAAGGGCAAGAGAGCAGGCTGGTCCCCTGCCCCATGGTGACGTGGGCCAAAAAAGCCACTTCTCGGGGTAGGCTGGGCATTTTGGTGGTTGTGTCCATCTCCTGGCCGCCCCGTGTAAAGCGGGGCCAACCCCCCTGGGTTGGGGGCACAAGGCCCCGATTCTACCCTGGCTCTGGGTGATCTGGAGGCGTCTTCCCTCTGGGCCTCCGTTTCGTCATCTGTAGAGTGAAGGAGGCAGTCCGTCAGTGCCCACTGAGGGTCCTTTCAGCACTAAAGGTCAAGGTCAGGATTTCCTGGGCCCCAGATGTTAATAGGCATCTCCAGCCACGCTCAACTCCCTATAGAATCAACTTCCAGACCAGCGCTGCTCAAGAGGCCACAAAACCAGCCGTTAGGGGTTTGGGAAGGATTTGTATGTGGTTTGGTGGAACCGGTCATTTGGCACAAGGCAAACACCAGTCAGTGGATTTTCTCCAGTCCAAGTCCATGCCATCCTGCAGAGATTCTATGCCTCTCCTTTTCTAGAATAATGAGTCAGTGAGGAGGGGAGCAGGGGGCCACCCGCTCTTTCAGGTGACCATGTCCTTGGGGAGCATCTCCTGCCCTCGTCACCCCCACGCCCCCCACAACCAGGTGTTATGTTCTGGCACGTGCCCCTGTGTCACCCCGTGGGATGCCATCACAGCGTGTAAACGTGGGCTTTAGTCCCACTGGCTCAACTCCAGGCACATCTCCCCTCGGAGGTTCAGGGAGCTCTTCCTTACCGTTGCGCCCCAGAGCCTGGCCCTGGGCCTGACACCTAGGAGGCTCCATAAATGTTTGCTGCGTGAATCAATCACGCGGCAAGGCCAGGGATGAAGACCCCACAGAGGAAGGAGTGGCCTCAGCATGGGGGCTGCACACCCAGAAGCAAGGTGTATGGCTGCCAGGAGGGTGGGGTGCCCCAGGTCCCACCCCAGCGGAAGGGGTGCTATGACGGCAGGTCTATACAGCAGGCCAGGAGCCGCCTGGGCCCCTACTTCACTCCTGGGCTCCCTGGATCCAGTCTAGGCCCTCGGTCTCCAGGGTGACATTTCTGTACGCAGATAGTACCAGGCACAGCCCTATGATGGCTCCCAAAAGCCTTGCAGTGGAAGCCCCAACCCCAAGTCAAGGCTTATCTTCCCAGCCTGTCTCTTGCCAAGCGTCTCCCACTCCAGCCAGAAAAACTTGGCTTCATTCCTCAAATACCCACCGCCCCCTAAACTGACCTCCAGACCTTCCAGATGAGTTCTGCTCCACTTGGCACCCTCCTCTCTCCCTGTTCCCCACTTTTACTACTTACCTCCTACTGACCATCTGGGCCCCAGCGTGGAAGTCACTTCCTCCCAGAAGCCCTCCCTGACGCCCCAGCGCTTGGCACAGAGCCAACGCTCACCACCCAGAAGAAGCCTCCTCCTGAGCTGAGAGCCCGGAACGGGCCGGCATGGTGCTGTGTGCTCTGGGCACACTGGGAGACGCAGAGGCAAATCCACGGCTTTCCCAGGGAGTAGCTCCTTGGGGCCAAGCTCTCGGCTCAAGCGCTGGGAAGCCCCAGAGGAGGCTGCCTCGCAGGGACGCTTCTCTAGCCTTGGGGCCCCCGCGCCAATTCCAGCCGTGGGAGTCGCCACTCACCTTCAGGGCGGGTGAACTCTCGGAAGGTGGGCAGCGACACGACAGTGTGGGAGATGGTGTGCACCGGGTCCAACATGCAGGTGACGTCGTTGGGGCGGCAGGACTTGATGCAGCGGACGGTGTCTGTCTTCTCCTGGCGGAGCCTGAGGGGAACCACAGCACAAGAGGAGGATGGGAAAGTCGGAACTGCCACTCCCACAGAGACCCAGGTTCCAGGAGGAGCCGCAGGTGGCCCGGCGGGGAGCGCCTGTCCCAGAGACGGCCCTGCCAGAGAAGCGCAGCGGCCTCCACAGCCGAGCTGCTCGCCTGGGATGCCGCGTAGCCCTTCCTGCCAACTGGACCAGGACCCACACTCCGGTCCCCATCTGCCCTGGCTGTGGATAAGCGAAGCTTTGCTATTTGCCAAACTGTATGGACTGAGCTTCGGCTTCCACAACTGCAGGCGGATTCACCCGCTTGACAAGTGTGTTTTGAAGGCCTGCTGGGTTCGAGGCACCAGGGACGCCGAAGCAAACATGGGAGACACGGTCCCGCCTCCCCGGAGCCCCCCGGTCAGGTGGGTCGCAGGGGTAGTGAGAGACCGCATAGGTAGCGCCCAGCTCGGTGCCCAGCACAAAGAGGTCAAACCCACAGTGTCATGCGACGGACCGGGAGGGGAGAGATGAGGGGGGAGGTTGTTTGCTAGCCATATTTTAAATCCTCTTTATTGTAAAATAAAACACAGATGCAAAACCTACCCGGAACAAAGATGTAGTTTAATGAGTAGTATCATCACCGCTCAGGTCAAGAAAGAGATCCTCCATCTGCCATCTGAGGCCCCTTCGTGTGCCCACACCAATCTCAGTGCCTGCCTGCCCGCCCCACCCCTCCCAGGACCCCTGTCCTGATGGCCCCAGCGTCGCCTACCTGGGTTTCTTTATAGTTCCTATCACACGGTGCATGCCTCAAGACAGTCATGAGAAAAACGTGCTGTGTCCCAAGTCCTTTTTAATCTACAGGTTTCCTCTCTATCCCTTCATTTCCCAGACAGTTGATCTGTTAAGGAACTGGAAGCCTCTGAACCATAGAGCTTCCTACATGTGGGCTCGCTGATTGCATCCTCGTGGTGCGATGCCGACTGTCGATCTGTCCTCTGCATTTCTGGCACACTGGCCGCTGGATCCAGATCTGATCAGATGCAGGCCCAGTGCCTTTGGCAAGATGACAGTTGGTGGTGTCTCTTCCATTGGGGGGCACTTGGTGTCTGGTTGTCTCTCTCTCTGTGATGTCAGCAGCTGTTGATGCTCAGGGCCTAGATCCACTGATCCATCGGGGATTGCAACATGCTGGTAGTCCGATTCTATCATTTCTTTTTAGTGTGTTAGTTGGAATACTTCTGTAAAGAGCGCTGCCCCTCATACGCTATCTGGTTACCAGGAGGTATCATTCATAGAAGAAAAGCAAGATCAATGCCTGATTCTTGCCTTATTTTCATAGGTTTTCAGGATCATGAACTTGCTCTCTCTCCATCATCACCAGAGGTTACCAGTTGATTTTTTAAAATATTAGTATGAACTCATGGATTTAAACTATTTGATGGATTTCAATCCATTGCAATTATTATCCTTTGTTGGAACTCAAGCTTTCCCATCTTTGGTCAGAGGGAAGATCAGAGTGGCTCCAGGAATCTTCAGTAGGTCTCTTACTCTGTGGTCCAACAGGGTGGTCCAGCCTCATCTTGTACTTTTCCTGCCCCAGCTACTTCTCCAAGAAGTCTTGGTTTTTTGTGTTTGTTTGTTTTGGTTTTTAGTGGAAAATGGTATTTCAAGACCACACCCTAGATACCAGGTATGGTGGGTGCTTCTAGGTTGGCCATTGCTTCCAGGCCTCTTCAGTGGATTTTTAAAGGGAAAATATATCATGAGTTCCTACTGATATTTCTGATTCAAAGCAAGAACGACACAGACTTTTAATCTCTTCTATATTACAAAGGAATCTCTTTTCTTCCATAACAGAATCCTGGTTCTTAGGAACACAGGAGATGTTAGAATATCCCATAATTATTGATGTAGTTATTCTATATTCTGACACAGTAGTCTCAGAAGAGCAATACCTAAAATTACCACCACTGACACAAGGACTTAAAATAATGTTTATTTGGATATGTTCTCCCTATTCCACCTATTTTAATGGATGTGCTATATCTACATTGTTTGAACATATAGCAATTCATAGTATACCATTTCCTTATAACACTCACTTAGTTGTAGCTGGAAGAGTAACTATGCCTAATGCCAGCATGTTGATACTTTTTCGTGTTGGTAATACTTTGTGTCCTTTGTCCACACAAGTCTGTTTTGTTGGGTATATAATCCTTGGCCTATGTTTTCTTGAGGATCCTAAGTATTCACCTTCTTCTAGCATAAGTGTTGCTGTGAACAAGTCTGATGACAATATAATTTTTCCCCTTCAAAGTCGTTGCTGGTTTTGCCTAGATGCCCTCTAGATGTTTGTCTTTTCTTCAAAGTCTGATAATTTTACGAGGCTATGTCTTCATATTTGCTGCTCTGAATAGGTATGTTCAGGTATGCTGTGTGTTCTCTCAATGTGGATTTTCAAATCCTTTTTTTTAATTTCTGGAAACTTCTTTGAGTTACCATTTTTAATACTTATTTCTTTCCTTTGTTGTGGGTTCGTTCCTCAGAGATTTCTATTATCTGTATGTTGGGTCTTCTTTGCGTGTCTTCAATGTCTGTTACTTTCTCTTCAAGCTTTTTCATCTCTTCTATTTCTTTTTTGATTTATAAAATTTGTCTTCTTCTTGGTCCCTCCTTCTCTCAAATATTTATTTCTGCAGTTGCTTTTTGCTTTAATTTTATATTATTTCCTGGGTTCTGTCACTGTATTTCTCAATTTTTCCTAATTCTGACTTACAGTTTTCATCCATTTTTTAGCATTTTCTTAATGCTTTTACTTTGTTTTGATACAGGTTACAGTTTTGATCTGGATTCTGAGCATATCTTTCTGGTGTGTTTTCATTGTGCAGAGGAATGTCATTCTGTTCCTTATTATCCTTTCTCTTACATAATTTTGTATGAGATTCAATGTTGATTCTTTTTGGTTGGTCATTTTCAAGTGTTACTAATTTTCCTGAAATTTTAGAAAAGGGCATATTCACAGCAGTTTTCCTGACTTCACAGAGCTCCCTTACCTGTCATTTGGGGCAGTGTGCTTTCTGAGATTCCTCTACATTTACCTGGACTTTCTTTATCCAGAGTCTATTGTCTCTTTCCTACTTAACTCTGCATTTCTCTTCCAGCAGCTTCTTCATAGTGTGAGATCCTGATCTTAAGGCAAGCCCTGCTGGCTCAGTTCCAAGAGTTCCTAGGGGCTAGATGGCTCCATTCCCTCAACGCTTCCGTGAGCTCCTTGCACACACTGGAATGGAATGAGTAAAATGTCTCCCAGTCTCAGCTGCTGCTCCAAAATTTTTCTACTGTATTTTCCAGGGAATACCTGTTGACTATTCTGGAGTCTCCCACTGCTTTCTTCTGCACAGGTGCCAAGACCATGCAGGTGGACATAAACTGTTATCTTGGGGCTTGTAGGGATATCATGTCATCTTGTTTAGTTGGGCATATTTTTCTGTGGATTTTCAAATTTTTTGCCCAGCCATCTTGGGTTGGGTTGGGATCTTTGGGTTTGGATCCAGAGAGCTTCAAACACTATGCTGCTGCATCTTCCCAGATTCTCTGTGCTTAGAGAGTTTGCACAAATTATCTCATTTAATCTCCACAGCTCTTCCCTCTATACCACGTTGCCTCCCTCTTTAGCTAATAAAACGTCCAATTCTATACCTGGGAATTATAGAATAGGGCTCATATCCATTATTTAGGAAAAGGGGCCAGAATAACAATCCGACCAGCACTGACTAATCCCAGCAATCCTGCCCTCTTCACAACATTCAAGGAAGCAGGGGGCAGGGTTTCAGGGAAGACTCCAGAGCCAGGCTGCCTGGGTTTGAATCCCAGCCCCACCTGATACCAGCTGTGAGACTTTGGGCAGGTTACTTATCTGCTCCATGTCTCCAAGGCTTCCATGTGAAATGGGGATCATAACAGTATTTTCCTCACAAGGCTGTTGGGAGGGTTAATTGAGTTAAATGCTTGGAGCAGTGCCTGGGCCTCAGTAAACAGTACATGTGTTAGCTATCATAGCTATGATTATTATCATTATAATAATGACAATCATGATTATTATCATTTGCCCTTGGGAGCTAAGGTTAGTACAGTGATCGAGTCAGAAGAGCAGAGGCCTAGGAGTTAGTCAGAAGTGATGGCAGTGACCTTGGACACATCCAAACCCTCTGAACCTTCATTCCCCATTTAACTCAAGATCCAAATGAACACTAATGTTCCTTCCAATGAATGAAGAAACCAACACTTACTGACTGCCTACTATATATACCAGATAATGCCTCATCTGCAATTGCATGTAATCTTCAAAATAATCCATGAGGGGGCCATGAAAGCTCTGAAAGGCAAATGACTTATCTATGACTTTGGATAAGTCATAAAACTAGTAAATGTCAAGGAGGACCTTCAAACTCTTGTAACTTTTGTTATGTTTCTGCCCTGCATGATCTCCACAGCACGATGTAGGACTATCACCATGTAGCCCCAAGGAACTGCCGGGCAGAGATGAGCCTTCAGGTAATGCAGATATGGCCTCACATGTGCACTCAGGCACACACAGAGACAGCAGAGATGTCCTGAAATGGAATGGGCCACCTTACGAGTTAAGGAGTTCCACAAACAAAGGAGAGTGCAAGCAAAGCTGGATGGTCAGTTGGTGGGAATGTTGTACAGGAGACTCTGGCAAACCCTGTAACATCACTGCATGGCCTCTAAAGCCCCTGAGAGTTCTCCCCCACTTGACACTCCTATGGACATGAAGGAAAAGTGCTTCTTCCAATCTGAATGATCTGGAGCATGATGAAAGAATAATTGAATACAATAACTAGATCCCTGCTGTAACTTGCTGACTTCACAGAAGAGATGATATTTGAACTAGCCTCGAAAATACCATCCATCCATCCATCATCCATCCATCTCTCTATCCATCTATCCATCCATCCATCAATCTATCCATCTATCCATCTATCCATCCATCCAACCATCCATCCATCATCCACCCACCCACCATCCATCCAACCATCCATCCATCCATCCATCCATCCATCCATCCATCCATTATCCACCCACCATCCATCCATCCATCCATCCAACCATCATCCATCTATCATACATCCAACC